GGCACTGAATAGCGACCAGTTAGTTTCCTAGAAAATTATTCTTCGATTATTTTTTATTTTTATGTCATAAGCCGGTAAATGAGCAGACGGATCACCTGATGGTAAGCAATCGACGCCGCCCATGGACACCTGAAACACCAAAGCGTTATAAGTGCGTTACCGTCGTTTTGGAAATCTTTCACATTTACTATCGTATCGTGAGGGAACTTTTCAATTATCATTTTTCAATGTAGATAGAGGTCTAAATTGTTCAAATTCCAACTTAATGATTAATGTTTGAATATTTTTGACCACTTAAGTGTTGAGAGAAAGGTGTGGATGAATATGATGTTAGTGACAAGGGTTGCTTGCAAAGGGAATGTTACGCTGGTTTGGACTTGTAGAAAGGATGAATGAAAGTAAAGTAACGAAAGAAGTATGCTGAAAGTGGATATAAATGGTGCCGTCGGTAGAAGGTGCGTTTAGACGGACATACACTGACCACATTGGCGATATTTTAAAGAAGGGCCAAATTAAAAGTACCCTTAGCCGACGAGCATGCATGAAAAGATTGATGACTGTTGATGAAGCGAAAGAGATATGTAAGAATCGTAGCAATTGGCGTTCCAGTCTCTGTCTACCACCATGGGAGACCGGCGTTAAGTTATGTATGTGAATGGATAAAACAGTACCTAATATGGAAAAAATAAGAAAATATATATAAAGAGTAAGAAATCCTGTGATAGATACTCACTGGTTTCTCAAGTACTTACTGTGATCCTTACTGGATCTTTATCGACTTCTCAGAGTCGTAAGAACCTCTAAAATATTATCTCGTCGGATTTTGTATGCGATATAACTGTCCCTTTTGAAGCTGTTTACGGACAAATAAAACGCACTACGCATTTAAGATAACATTGTTACATGAAAATGATTTCGTTTCTCCATCTCACTTCAAAGTTAGGACGCCATTTTGTTAAAGATAATGTGCTCTTGAAGGGCGTTTGTGAGTGTCACATTTGATTGAAGATTTATATCTGACTTTTTGAGTTTTAATTAGCCTGTCCTCCTGGTTTGTCAAACACATTTGAAAATGTCGAATGAGGGATTAGGTATAAAAGTGTAGTAAAAATTTTAGGTTTTCAAATACATACGTTATACATCGTTTAAAATTGCCTTACTTGTCTAATTTAAATCAACGATTTTGACTTTGACTTTACTTACGTAGGTAAATGGTATATAATATAAGCAGTTTCTTTTATATTTTTTGTTCAAAATTACTTCAGTGTGTATATATGTAGGCTGCAGGACATCGCCGCGACCGCGCACGCTGCTCATAGTGCTCATGAGAAAAAAACCTCTCTGTGGTTCGAAACTAGTAGAGCTTTTCTCAGTATTTTCACTTGAGTAACTCGCGATTTTTAGTTAATATTATTTAATTTCAACTTCTGTTTATTCATTTTGGATACAGAGAGTCCAATAACTCATTACAAGTTCAGATTATAAATGACAATCAAAGGTCAAAGAATCCAGTCAAAGGTCCAAAGGTCAAAATCTTCAGCCTTATTTCTTAAAATAATTAATAATGCAACGTATTCAAAATTGTACTAATTACTTTCCGTACTTATTTCCGTGCCTCTATTAGAAAGAGTCTAATTAAAGAGAAATAACTTTTATGTACTGTTGTTTAAAGTTTCATTTAATATGTAACGGGCGTTGATAATTAATTATTTAGAACGTATAATAGAAAAATATAATATTTGACTTATTTAACTTCGTACAAAAGATGGCGTGCGTTTGAGTTTGAAAAATGATCCTGCTTAATTACTTTTTTAATGTTTTCTTATTAACCATCTCCAGTCTCTACGTTAATATTTCGGAATTTTATTTATAGTAATGTTAATTGTTTTGTTTTGTAACAAATATAACCATTTCTTCCCAAAACGTTCTAAACATGTTGTTACCTAAAGGTACTCCCTCACCGGGAGCATTTAGGTGTAATGTAATGTCGCGGAGAACCGAACGGGTAACCGGGGCTCCAGCTCGACGTGCAGGAGAAGGAACGGGGTGGTTTTTAGTCAGTAAGAGTCTGACACTCCCTTCCGCCTCACCCAGGCGGGAGCAGTCATTCGATGATTTTCCCCCCTTAAAAAAAAAGGTGTAATGTAATATTATAAATTCGACTTTGAGCATTACTTACATTACAATAATACCTCCCTGACTAACGAGCATTGGCGTGTAATGTAAAATATAGATTGGACTTTGAGCATTTCATAGCAAGATGTCAGACATTGGTTTTACAAGTTGTATCAAGATATTACAAATTGTTATCATTATAAGGTGCGCATTGTAATGCTCAGTTCTTCTCTTTCAATGATGTAATGTTCAGATCTGTAAGATTACATTACACGCGAATGCTCCCGGTGAGGAGAGGTTAGAATTTTCCAGAACAGTGTGATTTGATCCAATTTTTGAATCACACTGTACAATCAGATGTATGGAGATACGTCTACCTATGTTTTTGGTGGTACGATGTATTTGTAGGTTTTTTTCAAAACATGTTAAATCCTGCCTTAAAAACAAAATATTAATTCTTCGCCTTACACTAGAATTAGCCTTGTAACCATTCAGCCAACGAAACACTCAATCATCTATACTTTATTCACAAAATTGTAAAACTTACTCATAAAAGATATACAGGGTGAGTGAACTCAAAGACTTTGTACTTTAAACATTCAACTGTTAATAATAGGTTAATGCGTCATCAAACTTTCTTAGAACGGCTCTGATTGGCCCGATTACTTATTGAAGCCTACAATTTAGCCAACCACATAAATCATTCAAGTAATACAAGAAGCCGTTTTACACGTCATGCGTACTTAGTATGCTAATTTCGACCTTATTCCAATAAAAATACGTAGGGGAAAGAATATTATTAATTTTACGAGCAAAACTCTCGTGATTTCTTAACTTTTGATGGGATTAAGGCGACACAAGTTTTTATTTATGCGAGTGATTGTCGGTATGGGTCTTCGTGATGGTAATAAAGGGAGAAAGAAGAAATTATCGTGTAAGCTATTATTGGATTTAAGTTAAAGCTTTTTTAATTACACTTTCAATCCTTTTTTGTTGGATTGCGAAAAAAGTATTGTCTATCTACGTAATGTACTGTAAATTTTGTTTTTGTATTCATACTACGTGAGTAATCCAGTACAGAAGCACAAAACTACTAGACGATATTTTTAAATTTAGACAAATGAATAGAGTTATTGCTCAGAAATAATGCAATGAATATTTTAATACATAAATACTAGTAATATTTATAGTGGTAGTAGTAATATAGTAGTTTTAGTATATTGGGGGAAGTCCTAATAACGCGAGCGTTTCAATTTTTAGGGGGAAATCTCTCAGTGGCAGACACCTGATATTTTTAATAAAAATTTAATCGCTCGTGTTATCAGTTATCGAGATAATATAAGTGTCCGGCGTTAGGTGCTGTCTAGCGTTATGGGACTTTCCCCTATATATTTAGTCTGTAAATTTTGTTGATTGTTTAATCCGTTTTATATTTTTGTTTGTCTTCTATTTTTGTTTTCTTTTATTCTACTTTTACAATTATTGTGCGCCGATCACCCATTTCCAGATTCTTTTCAAAGATTCCACCCAAAGATTGACTGCACGGTTGGTGCGGTGGCTGGGCAACCGGCTGCCGCGCAACGTGTCGCGGGTTCGATTCCCGCACGGGACAACACTTTGTGTGATCCACAAATTGTTGTTCCGGGTCTGGGTGTCATTGTGTATGTGAACTTGTATGTTTGTAAATGCCCCCACGACACAGGAGAAAATCCTAGTGTGGGGCAACGTTTTAAAAAAAAAAAGAGATTGTCTGAAAGAAATCGCTGGGTGTGATAAGATCGCCGCCCATTGTACTCAAATTACTATTACAATGTGAAAATTTTCATTCTATGTGTGCAATAAAGTATAAATAAATAAATACTCCAGCCTAACAAGGTTAGATGCAATTAGAGCTTAGATTGCATTATTAATGTACTGATATCCCAGGAAATTACACCGAACCAAACTTCCCAAACCTGAATATAAGTACCAGGAAACTATTAGATACTAGAATAGTCTATCCACTTCACCTTTTACCCATTACTACAAAACTATTCGTAGTAACAGAAGCAATTTTAAAAGAAAATTTCCGTTATTCTTTGTAATCTTTTCAATCTTTCCTACGATGTTATTTGTTTGGGTTCAAACTAGTTTTATGTAAATCATGTTTTCAACTGACGCGGACGGACGTCGATTCTGAACTGCCAGTAACTGCAAAGTTGAACGACCTATGGTGATCACGTAAACTAAACGATATTTGTAGAAGATATGAGATTGAGATTCTTTTGTAGTTTTTTGGTTATTTTTAGACTTTGTAATGAGAATTTTCTTAAGAAACTGAAATTAAAGGACTTTTGTTGCTATGTGAACTTAAAAACATTTTTTTAACTAAGGTAGAACTTTAAACTTAATTAAGACATATTAGGTCGTGGTGGCCCAGAGGTTTAAGACTTATTCCGAGTTGTATGTACTTTCTAAGATTATTTAGACACAATTGGCAAACGATGAAGGATAACATCGTGAGGAAACCTGGACTAATAGTTTCTAATAATTGAGCAAGTGTGGTGATTAATGCTCAAACATTTTCCGTGTGAGAAGAGGCTTTGCTCAGCAGTGGGCATTTATAGACTGTTGATGATGACTGTTTTTGATATAGTAGGAGTTAGGCGTAATAATAACAATAGGTTGGTCAAAGTAATAACAACAATTTAGTTATACTACTATAATAACCTGGGTGTCTTCAAAGCCCGAGAGAATAGGTTATTTATAGACGTCCTCGATCGTAGACCACATCATCGCTTACCACCAGGCGAGATAGTGGTCTAACGTCGACTCATTAAATAAATGAAAATGCTTTTTAACAGAAATTCAGTACAATATGTAACTCCCATTTCTCTTTTTTCCAGACGCTGAAGGTACGGGTGGCGCGGACCTGCAGCGCAAACTGGACCTGCTCAACGGCACGCTGGACGCAGAGAGAGCCGAGCAGGCACGCAGGCAGATGCAGTACATTGCTCATTGTGAGTATATTAATTAAGTATTAAACTCACAAAACTGACAACAATCAACACTTAAAAAGAATGAAAGAAAGAAGAAATAATCATTTGAGTTACGCTGTGATGGAAAAAGGAATTATGGTTTAAGGTCCCGATATAAAATGACCTTCATCAAAAGTTATTTATTTTTTAAACAGTTACAATGGTAGAAAACCCAATTACAGTAACTGACATGAGATGAGCTGATGAGATGCTTATTTGATGAAACATATTTTATATTCAATGTAACCACATCAACAATTATTTTCCATTTATGTCTAATCAATTTCAGTCCCGGATATGATTGATGAGTAATTAAAAGATTATCCCCAATAAATTTTACTTATGCCTGGAATTTGATGGACTATGTGAAGTCTTTTGCAATAAGGTTGAAGATAGCATGAGTTATTTCTATGATTTGCCATTTGTTCTCAGCTAATAATAAGACGTTGAGGTTTAATAAATCTTTTTTATGCAATGAAGGTTTCAAACTAAAATTACAGATTATTCATCTAAGGCATTAGATATATTAGCAGAGCATTTAAACAACCTTCATTATGTTATAAGGATAATTCAATTTGATGCGCTTTAGCTAAGCATTTCAATACAATATTAGAGCTACATTCTCCTAATGCGATTGCCAGCTTAATGCATAAGCAAGAAGCTTAGATTGTACCAATCTATCTTCTAGTGTACACCGTATATAGGTGTAATAGAGCCGTATGATTAATTTGTGGACTGATTATAATCAGTTGGTATAATAGGCAGTAAGCCGATTTGGTTAATCATTGCATGGATACCAGATCACATTATGAAGAGATGGTTTGAACATAAATTACAAGATAAATGTATGTAACATTAAGAAAGGTATAAATATTAATATTTTAAATGCGAAAGTAGTCTGATTGTAATCATAGCAAGCGTCGTTTAGGCTTACTGTCCACGACGCTTTCTGCCTCCCACAGCAAAACTGTGGAATGATCTGTCGTCGGCGCTATTTCCGAACCGATACGACCATCAAACATTCAAAAACAGAGCGTACTCCTTTTTTAAAAGACTGGCAACGCACGGCGCTGATCGCTTACCATCAGGTGATCCGTCTACTCATTTGCCTCCTATTTCATACAAACGTGTATTTTGACGAATACATGTAACCTACAAATGATGATAAGCGAACAATTATTGCCGCTTCGTGGACAGTTTTCATTGGTTCTTAGCGATATAAACTTTTATCATTTATTTACTCAACTAATCTTCTTGATATTTTGCATACGTAAGTTGAGAATACAGGGAGAACAGAATAATACGCTATTTTACAAAGGTATTAGTCGAGTAATAAAGCCAAAGCCGACAGTGTTCCTTGAAATCATCATCAAAGCAATTTTTCTACTGATTGTAGCTACTGTAGATCCTGGCTTACAGGAGTTGCAGAGGTTTTGGGAGGACCTGGCGGGCTTTTCCCATTAAAAAAAAGATTTTTTTTGAATAAACGATGATTAACTAAAAATTACGAGTTACACACGTTAATATACTGAGAAAAGCTCTACTAGTAGCATCCAAGAGTGGCTGATATTGATATTGACGCGACCACGATCGGATATGCTCACGAGGAAGAGTCTCTCCGTAACTCGAAACTAGTAGACATTATCTCAGTCCATTTACGTGAGTAACTTTTAGTTAATTCAGTATATCTTACGATATTTAAAAACAAACCACAATAGGGGATGCCTAATTTTTATTTTAATGTCCGTCTGGTTGATTATTTTAAATCATTAGACACGTATTTATTATTTTCTTACAGAAACGAATACTTTCGACGATAATAATATTGATTTTAAATGTCGCGTGACGTTACTTCTATGTACATTTTATACGTAGAAATGACGTTTTAGCCCCAACTCTTAAACTTTGATTCGTTTTATCTAAGTATTGTTATGTTATACGACAAAATAAAAAAATACGTGTCTAATAATTTTTCATTACCTAACTTACGGACTTATATTTCTAATTTTTATCATCCCAATTATGCAGGTTATTTTGAAAAGTCCAAATCGTTCATAAGTCTGTGATTTGGTGTCGCTCGGTGTTTATACTTTATATTTATTTAAAAAAATGTTTAATTCCTAAGTGTTTTAATAATAACGTGAGTAACCTGCGATTTTTAGTTAATCTTAAATGTGTTTCTATTCCAGCGGGGTACTCGGAGGACTCGGACTATACGTCCGACCTCAACTACCCAGTGGGGCAACATGCCAACTGCAGCGCATCTCAATTCCGAAGCGCTGCCCACCAGATGCACACACCTCAGGTACCTAAATACATTTATTTTTCAGTGATTTGCAAAATATATATTCACTTTTTTATTATTCAAAAAGGTAAATAGAAGCGTATTATATGTATATGTTAACAACTAAATCCACGATTACGAAAAACCCAAGTACAAAAGTCTCTAAATTCGGTATGGACTCACGTTTATCAGTCTAATTTTCGTAATATTGAAAATAATTATCACTGTTATCATCACTACATAGTATAAAACAAACGCTATCCGCCGTCTGTCTGTCCCTTGTATCCTTAGATGTTTAAAACTTCGCAACGGACTTAAGGAAGGTTTATATGTATAACACATGCATATAACACCCGTGCGAAGCCGAGGTGGGTCGCTAGTATTATATATTCTTTACTCTATCTTGGCTATTATAGACTAGTATCTATAAATGTACATACATAAAAAATAAGAAAATAATTGAATAATAGGTTCTTATGACATGACTTATAACTAGAAAACAGTATTTTTCGTTAGTGGTTTTGGTAATATAGTTTTAATAACCATTGCTATTGTCAATTCCAGAGATCATTGGAGGTATCACGTGAGAATTCGTACGAGAGGGACGAGTACCACATACACGGGGACACCGACCCGTTGTACTACAACAGTCAGCCGCGAACCAGGTATATGTCAATAGTTACATACAAAAATGCTTCTCAATGATAGTGGTTGGGTGGTAGTGGCTGGGTGGACTGATTCCAGGTGTTACACAAATAGGTAGGGTTTTTTTAGTCTGGATGTGATCTGACTATGTTTTTTTCCTGTTGTGGGTTCGTTAAATAGATAAAATTGTTTGTATGGGGATAATTCTGAGCTCAATTCCAGATAACGAGACATTACTGAGGATTTTGGCCTGCCTCGTTGGCCGAGCGGTCGCAAGTGCGACTGCCGGGCAAGGGGTCTCGGGTTCGATTCCCGGGTAGGGCAAAGTATCACTGGGTTTTAAAAAAATTCTCAGTAGTAGCACGTTGTCTGAAATTATGCCCAGTATATGGCAATAGGTTCACCCCCTATTACGTGGGACTCATAACATAAATAGTGAACAGTGAGTGTTACATTCTCCAGTGGCGTTATGTAGGTACACCTCTGCCACCTAGAAATACATACAACTTTGCTACTACTTGACCAAAGAGGCGGGTAAAACAAACAGGACTTGTTTTTTTTCTACATACCTATACAATGTATATGATTCTAATGTTAGTTTTACTAATTCCAGGATAGACACATGGTCTCAGCTCCACGCACAAGTGAGTGTGGAGTCTGCAATATCATGGCGGACCGCGGCTGACTGGCAGTCCGGGGGTAAGCAAAATAATCTGTGCTAGTATTATATTATTATTTTACAATAATATTATCACAGACCAAATTCGCCATGAGCATGTGTGGCGACTGGTTTATTATATGTATTTAATTATATTATATTTATTTGTTTGTTTGTTTATAGAGGAACAGCGCCGGCCGAGTCTAGAGCGTCAGAACACCCTGTATGATGACAACGTGTATGGGTTCGAGAGCTACTCTGGTATCACGCACACTAGGTACATTCATTAACATCGTTTATTTATTTTTAAACAGTCACAATGGTACAAAATCCAATTACAGAAAAAGAAAAGTAAAACTTAATTAAAACAGGAGTAAACACCATTCATAAGTTTCTCTCGCAGTACTTCAAGCATTCTGATAAAATCTCCTTCCATCCGTCCGCAAGCAAATCACTATTTGGATTGGAATCATTTATACATACATGTATCATGAGGTACACATACAGAAGTGTACAAATAAATCTTACTTCTTGCCTTTTCGCAATCACTTTTTGGGGTCAATATTCAGTCAAATTGGGTAACCTACATGCACTGACTGTCATCTGCAATTTACTGAGGGTTCGTACACAAGACTGCGATGCGACGTTGCATCGTAAAAATGTGTGAGCTCCCTTTGTGCATCGCAAGAACTTGCGAATTGATTCGCATCGCGCATCAAAATATTATCTTCCTAAAATCTTCTTTGTTTCTTTTTCCTGTATCTCCTAACCAATAACAGAAGTGCACACTTCTTACGATCCATATCACGACCTAGTTTTAAAAATTTAAAATACGTTTAGTACAGTTGACGGTCATCGAAGAAATATTCACACTGGGAGACGCCTTGTCGCACGAAATCGTATCGCAGCAATTCGCATAGTAATTTTCTGCCTTGCGAATTCGCATCGCATCGCAGTTTTATGTACGAGCCCTAAGCCCAGTAAATAGAACTTACAAACAAAATTATATTACTTCCAGGGACCATTCGCATTTATCACAGCAGCAAAGTTATGAAGAGTACTATGACTCGACGAGCTATCATTACCAGACCTCATACGTTGGAGACGACTCCAGGCAGTGGGACAGTGGAGGGCAGTACTTCTATGATGACGGGCATGGCTTAACTCCCACGGAGTACGAGAACATCGTGAATAAGAGGAGATCTTCTGTTGTTCAGCTGCCGCAAGTGCCGCCTAAACCAGTGAGGGTTTTGTACTCTTGTGATTATAAAATAAGAATGTTAATATTGACAAAATAATTGAGTTACATTCTTAGCACCTTTGGTGTTTGTTGTAACAGATGTTTAATCTCACTTTAATATAGAATAGTAATTTAAATACTAGAGGCAAAAATAAGTTAGCTATACCGCATGTCAGACTGTCCGAGGTACAGAAATCCTTTAGGTATTAAATGCTATAATAAAATACCAAATAGTATACTAGATCTCAATGAAATTAAATTTAAGGTAAACGACCAGACGGATCACCTGATGGTAATCAATCGGCGCCGCCCATGGATACCCAAACTCTAGGGGTGAGGTTAAGGATTGTTGGGGCTTCAGGGATTTGGGAGATTGGGAAGGGGAGTAATTAGGCCTCCGGTAACCTCACTCACATGACGAAACACAATGCATGCGTTGTATCACGTCGGTTTTCTGTGAGGCCGTGGCCGCCTCCACTCGAGCCAGCTTATGCGTACCGAAGCGTGGCTCTTCTACACCTGTACCTGTATTTTGTAGTATTATGCACATTAAACAAACCAAATAAATAAATATCTTGTGTTTCAGTTGGTGCCATCATCGAGGTATTCAGACTACAATGAGATGGCACCATACAGGCCGCGGCCGCGGAGAACTGCTGCAAGTCTTCCTGGTAATATTCAACACAGTTTTTGCTATAAATGCTGATACTATATTTAGCTATTGCAATAAGTATTATGCAATATCAAGGCAGATTTAAAAGTCTAAAATGTAAACTATAGAAAAAAACTGGTAAAATAAAACTCCTTAAAGATCTCCGGACATGTTGTGGTTGTTCGATGAGTCATGAAAGACGTAACTTGAGATGGTTTTTAATAAAAAAATAATATTGAAATTACGATGCTAACATATCGCCTATGCAATTAGTACGTGTTCAATTAGTCGCCTTCATGAAGTGTTGAAAAATAATAACTCTATGACTTAACCAATTTAACTTTTGAAAATTGAGGAATTAACTACACAGTAATCTGTATACCCAACCTGCCAGAGTTAAGTAGAGAAGACGAGTTGTGGTTCTTCATGCAGAAAGAGCTAAGAGCTAAAAAGCCAGCTTATCGTGAATCAATGTGCTTTATTTATTCCAGCTACCCCGTCATCAACCCCCAAGCGGGGTCGTGCGCTACCGGTGCCCCCTGGCAGTGAGTCGGGGTCAACACGGGGCAGCCGCGGCCGCCGTCTACCCCAGCCCCCTACGCCTTTGTCGTCATCGATGACGTCATATGGCAGCTTCTCGCGCCCCAGGCGCGCGCCTTCCGCCTCCACGCTTACGCACGTGCCTTACGTACCCGGTGAGATTGGCTTATAATGTAATATGAAGTATATCACGTCATAACCATCCATAGTAACTTAATAATGGTGGATTAAACTTAGAGAGTGGGAGAGGTAATAGGCTCACCCCCTATTACATGGGACTCATAACATAAAGAGTGAGTGAAAAGTGGGTGTCACATTGTACAGTGGCATTAAGTGCCGTAATTTGCATCTCTGCCTACCCCTTAGTGGATAGAAGGCGTGTTGTTATGTTTAACTTAGGGAGCGCTTTAGGCAAGCACCTCAGAGACGCCCTTAATTTTTTTGACGCCACCGCCGCTCTATTCGCATTAGGATACGCGCGTCTCGCGGCACTCATCTTTAACCTGGCAACCTAGGCACTTGCCTTGTTTGTCTTAGGGACAATACGGCTCTGCTCCTTAATCACACAAATATATTACATATTTAAACAATAGTAATCGTTCTTGGTGTCTCGAATTAGAAGGTAAATATTTTTTTTGTAAGAAACACACATACGAAGGTTAAACATTACAATACTTAGGTAATGCTTCTTCTTTAGTGTAGATATTAGACTGAATTTTGAACTTAAAGTATAAGGCCGTGCGCTGCGTTAGGCGTGTGCATGCAGCGGGTCACCCGTCCCACGCTGATCGCACGTAAGATTACTAAAGGCTATCTCTGGTGTTAGATATTTTGATGTAGCACAAACAGTTGTGCTACATCAAAAAGGCACAGGCCTTAACATTTTAGCTTAGATAGGTATATATTTTTAATTTGATTACCTATTTTTACTTAAATTGTGTTTATCAGCCAAAATATTTTAAAAATCAACAAATATTATTGGGTACTCGTAAGTTCTTGAGAGTATTACGGAATACTAATGCTAAAGCCACCGATATGTATTCATTTAAAGTTGAGCTGCTTTCAACAATCATCACTTAACACTCTTTCCATCATCTAAACACTCATACTTTCCTAAACAATACATTTTATTGTATAATATATTCTATTAACTTATTCATAAGGTGTATTTTATCTTGCAGAACCTGAAAGAACTATACCTGATGCGAGTTATGGTTATGATAGCTTCGGGTTTCAGCAGCAAGACTTTCAAGACACTGCCACAGCATCCTATCCAGAAACTAATTATAATAATACGACGTAAGTAATTAAAAGTACCCTTAACCGACGAGTATGCATGAAAAGACTGATAACAGTTTGAGGAAGCGAAAGAGGTTTAAAATGTCGAAATACTCAAACGCTACTCAATTATAAGTACGCTTAAGTAAAGTTGTGTCTCTACAAATTCTTTATAAAATGACAGAGATGGCACGATATTTAACACGTTAAACGCCATGGGGGTCACCGGTGACCGGCGTTAGCGGAGGATTTACCTTCAACAGTTTTGTATAGGCAGCCAAAGTTTTTAGTATAACTTCAGTAGCCTTTTAGTATGTATTTAGGGTGTAAGAATTGTAGCAATTGTCGTTTTATAGTCTCTGGCTACCCCTATTATAGACATGTATTAAGTATTTAACTAAAAACACTCATGTTCGTTTTCATCAACCTCTCTTAATTAACTAAAAATCGCGAGTTACTCACGTGAATATTAAGTCCAAATTAAAAGTACCCTTAACCGACGAGCATGCATGAAATGATTGATGACTGTTGATAAAGCGAAAGAGGTATGTAGGAATCGTAGTAATTGGCGTTCCATAGTCTCTGCTTACCCCCATGGGAGACAGGCGTGAAGTTATGTATGTATGTCTCTTAATTGGCACATTTTGAATTTAAATTCTTTAAACAAGAGCTACAGAGAAATTAGATCACATTCACTAGAAATCTATCATGAAGTCATCACTAAAAGGATGTTCATGTATTCAATAGGTATTGTTTGTAAAGTAGATAAATATGTTATTATTTCTAGAAAACACATCTCATGGATGGTGACCTAATTGTAATTACATCGATATGTGAATCACAATGATAACACAATTTGTAGAAACACCAACGTGAACTAAACAGTACTTAGTAATAAAATGAATACTTTTTTCTTTAAAAGAAAAATATATCATACTGAGTATAAGGTCTTTAACCCGTGGTATGCCGTAGATCTAAGCGAGACAGCATGTATTTTCTATTGTCTCATATACCGGTACTCACTCAAGAGGTAATCGACCATTAGGTGAAGTTAGAAGCTACCTCAATATTTGAACACGCATGCAAAGATTGCTAAATGTAGATGAAGCGAAATAAGTATGTCAGAATCTTGTCATTTGGCTTTCTATTGTCTCTGCCTTCTTCAATGGGAGATGTGCGTGATGACATGTATGCATGTTTTTAAATCGGTTAATCTGAAATCTCGTTCAAAAGCACATTTTTCTGTTTCATTAATTTGTAAAAAATCAGGTTCACATTCACAGTCGGTTTGGTTTGAAAACCACAAATTTGAGCATAGTTTATATAGGTGTTAATGGACTTGAGATTGCCTTATTAATAAATAAAATGGGCACTGGAATCAAGACAGTTTATTAGAAAAGTGAGAATAATAGACTACGTTATGATTATGAACAAAACTTTCAACGAAATCATACAAAAGTTTGTGCTGCCTCACTCTGTCCATGTGAGAACTAAATAGCAGTATACAAATATGTGTCACCAGCGTACTTTTTAATAGTGGTATTGTAAAATTGAGTTGATTGGGTGTTGTAGTTTAAAATTCATAAAATCTAACTTAAAATGTTTGTTACAGATATGATTCGGATGGTATGCAACCTTTCTTCGATGAAACGCCACACGCTACTCCGCCTGCCGCTGGTAATTATATTAATCAACACATTCTAGCATTTAAAAATATAAATTTTAAGACATTTCTCGAAAAAAAATTCTCGACATTTCTCTTTAACATTTTGAAAGGACAAGGAGGGATAAATAACAACAAAGTTTTATATCAATTAACTATTTATATGCATATTGCGATATCAAAATTATGTCAATGTCAACAGTTAAACCGAGAATTCATATTATAATAAAAATGATACAATTACATAAAAGATAAGAACTTCCGTAGCGTGGACACGTTTAGATTTGCTGTAAAAATCAGTTCTTTTTAAATCGTAAACATGACGGGCTGTTTCATTGACTATTTGTGTGGTGATTTTACATTTAACTTTAATATTTACAACGTTTTCTTCCATATTCCAGCTCAAAAAACGCCTTGGACTGAAACAGAGACAATACCACAGTTCACGTACCCTAGCACTAGTGAAAGCGATTCATTGTTACCGAAAACAGTGCCATCAACAGTTTCGTCTTATTTACCTCAACCACCGGTAACGAGTCAACAAGACACATACCAAACGCAAAGTTACCAATACGAAAATCAACAGTACGATTCACAGTACGATAATCTACAATATCAGTACGATCAACAAGATCAACAGTATACAGAACAAACGCAATATGATGATAAACAACAGTACCAGCAGGATTACCAGTACGATTCACAATTTGAGTCACAATACCCGGAGGAAGAAAAACAACCAGTTTCCCATCAGCTGTATACGCAACAATTTGAGCAAGACCAACAATACTACCAAGATCAACAGTATTTGCAACACTCGGAACAACAAGCAAATCAACTACCCTTCCAACAGCAACAGCAACAGTCGCAATATCAACAGCAACAGCAGCAACAACAACAGCAGCAGCAACAACTGCAGTTGCAACAGAAAAAGACACAACAGCAACAACAGTTGCAACAGCAACAGCAGCAACAACAACAAGCTAAACAACCTGCGCAACAACTGCAAACGACTGTTTTGACTGGTGCTGCTACATTGGGTTCATTTATGGCCGGTAGTGCGAAGAAGTTGGGAAGCCTTTTTGGTGCAGCTGCAGCAGCAGTTGCAGCTCCTGCTGTGACTCAGCCTCCTCATACTACTCCTGCGACAACAACTCCAACAAGCCAGTTTACTTCATCAGTAGCTCCTGTAACGCCGTTCACAAGTACCGTGCCGGTAACATCATCCGTCCTATCCTCCTCGCCCTATCCGTCATCCGATATATCTACACCAGTGCATTCGTCTAGCGCGAATATATCGTCATCAGCGCCAGTTTCTTTACCGCGAACTCCCTCTCTCAGAAGACAGGAGTCCATACAAAGACCTTCAGTGCGCCGAACTCGGACGTTACCAGACGCACCTGAAGACTTAACCCAGTCGAGTTTCGACGAAAGTGCCTACGAGGACGAGTATCATAAGACTGAATACGATCAATCAACAGACCGCGATAGGACTTCTTTGGACAGGTATCGTGATGATGATTACATTCATGATACCATTCTCGAAGAAGTCCCTGAGGAGAGACGTTTGTCGGATGTACCGCCAAGCCCAAGCTTGCAGAAGCAAGCGTCTCCGACTAGAACTGTGGCTCAAATAAGGAAACCGTCAGTTGACAGTTATCACAGTCAAACGCCGTCGATTGTTGATCGTAGAACCTCGCAAAGTTCTTTTCACCCAGAAGAGAAACTTGCTGTCCCTACTTCACAAGAAGGTAATTATTTTATTGCATTCCGATTCATAAAATATTTCACTTCAGATTTTATTACACCATAATTATATTCAACACAAAACTTGCGATTAAAACTCACACATTTTGGAATGAAAATTCAGTTTGTTTTATAAACATAAAGTCGTTATTATTTCATGTGCCAATATTAACATCACAGAAACTACAACCAAACACAATTCCACAGAATCACTCACGGATAAATCGAAAGTCACGTTCCAAGACGAGCGCACGACCTATCACGAGGTACCTGAAGAGACTGACGGCTTCCAAGAAGCTGAACCTTATGACGATCAAGTTGAGGAATACCATGACGATGTTTCATACACTGACAAAAATGAAACGTTTATGGAAGAAAGAGATAAGTTTGATGACCAGGAACAGTTCCAAGAGACTGATGACACGTATCCAGAGACCGAAGACAATGTGTTCCGTGAGAAGAAGGAGAGACCAGAGGAACAGCCTGAACAGCCGAAGTTGACTCCTCGGCAGCGATGGCATCGAGCCTACAATAAGATCGTGATGCAGCTGAATGTGAGTACTCTTTTCAATTATCCGGTGGATGCAGAAAATATGAACTTACTATTTGGTTAATATTATTCTTTAAAACGTTTTATTGATATTTTATTTCTTTTCATTTTTAGTTTTTGTTGAACTTTATTTTACTTATTCTGATTTTCTTTCTTTCTTATTTTATTGTTTTTTTTTCTTTATTTTACTTTTTTCGTTCATTTTTTACGTTTTGTGTCTGAATTATTATGTTATCGAAATGAACAGAACTGATACTACTACATGATATAACGAAAAATCTGCATCCATCGCCATCTTAATGATTACAATCATTTTTTGTATAACATTTTTTTACAACCATGGAGAATTGACACTCGCTTTCAATTAAAAAGGACCAGGTAAGTCTAATTTAACATTAATTTGAAAATAATTGATAGGTACGGTCGAAGCAATGTTTTACGTACATTGTTCCAATTAAATATCATTCGAATACATATTTAGCAGTACAATTAGACTACGCATATTATACAATACAATTTTTACTTTAGGGCTTTGTTATAGGGTGTCTTTTTCAGCAAAAATTGTGTGTGACTATCGACATTTTTAAGTAAAACGGTTTTATAACATTTTAAGGTATTTTATTTTTGTATTTCTGGTATGTTATCAAAGTGTGACGAATATGTAAATTAATGAAATGTATTCGTTCTAAATTTTGTTTAATCTTTTTAGAACGAATTCACTTTCTTTACGTTTTCAGTGACCGAATTCAAGTATTATTGAGTTAACTTTATGATATACTATGTAATACAAGAAAGCCACGTCGAAAATAGTAACATTCCATTTTATATTTATCATTATTTGAGAAAGATGTAATTTTCATAACAATGCCGATTAATATCGAAACAATTTATTATTATCAATTACAATATCTATGACAATCTCATTACTTTTACATAAATATATTTAAGCAATACTGATTTAAGTAACACTTAAGAAATTAACCTACTACAAATAACAAACTTAACCTATTTCCCTCGAAAATTCACATGACACTACAGATAAGGGACAAAAAGTACCATTAAAAGTGTCTGGCCCGGTAGGGGTTAACCCCCTACCGCTATATAGCCTTCCTGACGATTTAATGGACATACTAATTGTATCTAACTATCCCATGAGTAACTAAAGTGATATAGGCTGACGAGGGTTAGAAAAACTGCAGTAAATAATAATTAATTTTATTGTTTTTTGATTGAAGCACTCATTTGTAGGTGAGTTACGTAGTTTTATGGGTTTCTGTTGCTAAATTAATTTGTGATAACGATGTTTTATTTTATTTTGATGTTTTCGGGAGATTTCGAAGATCTCATAAGTTGAATTGTCTAAAAAAGTTTTTAGACAATTGTCGTATTTACTTTTTTTACAAAACAATTTGAGATATACTGTTTCCTTCCCACCCAAATGTGTGGATTGTAAAGCGAATACTTCCTTGAAAAGTTGTACCAAGTTTTGAAATCAGTCATTTTCTCAAAACATTACAAAATTAATTAATACCTGCTACGGAAAATTTCCAAGTTTTGTTATGCAATCTAAGCTATATTCCTACATACACTGTAAATATTCAAATCTGTGATTACGAAGTGCAAAATCTTGTTTGCACTGATGCAGCTGGACTTGTGCTGCTTATTCCGTTCGTGTGCACTAATTATATTAGGACGTAGCACTTTGAATTTAGCAAAGCCTTACTTTTGAGAGAAGTGAGTTTCTTCATTATACTATTCAAATTATATTTGTATATGTAAATAGAAACAATTACAGAACCAAATATTACTAAGTGAACCGGCCATAATCGTTATTAAACTCACATTTGTGTACTAAAAACTACACATTGTAATTAAGAACCCTTATCCTTACCTATTCAAGAATATACTATTAGAACGGAACAACACTATGAACATTAAAGTAAATTCACATTAGACTAATTCTACATTCGAACTATAATCCTACTGCACAGTGGAGCAACTGAACTTTAATCCATTGCATTACACAGTGCGCAAATAGTGCAAAGTCCTGTACAATACAGTTACAAGACAAACGCATATAGGACCAGTGTTGAGCTTAACGCCCCACTGTGCTCGAGTAGGCATAATCAAAATGGCGGACGAAGAAAATGGCTAAATGTTGTTACGCGGCCTTCGAGTGATCGGACGACCTTGAACGTAAATGGGAACTCGATAAATGAAAGCTTTGGGAATGATATATTAGTGTGTGTTGATTGACCTACGAAAACATTTATACATAAGAAAATGTTCGTATGTTTTTGCCATAACATGCTAGGTTTGTATAGGCACTGGTAAAAAAGTAGTTTAAAAATATTAGTTAGAATTTAAACATTCCATTAACATTCAATATAAAAATGTGTTTGAACGTAAACCAACTATATGCACTAACAACATAACAGAACGAAAACTCAACTATCTTAGACGTACACAACATTATTATCACACAAGCATTAGTACTTGCCTACAGCACTAGCGAAGTTCGCCAGTCAAGTAGTTGCAAACAGTCCACTACGGGAGCAAAGACTTCAGCTCAGCAATAACTATACTATCCTGTGTGCAACTATTGAAGTCAACGACTTAACTTTGTACGTAATCGTCTTAGATACAGGATTAGTTCAGATGTTGTGTACAAAACTTATATACGACATGAATGCGTTTATTTTTAACTTAAACCTTATTGGACAAGTTAAAAGTAAGCTAATGTGGTTATGACTTGGTTAGTATATTTCGTTGTATTGGAATTGAGTAATGGTTAATAAATAAGAGATTTGATTATTGATGTTAGGTTTTATAACAATATAATCATACATACGTAACCTCACGCCTGTCGCTCATGGGGTAGGCAGAGACTAGACTATGAAACGCCATTTGCTACATCTTTCGCTTTACAGCAAATCGTAGCTCTTTCGCTTCATCAACAGTCTTTCATGCATGCTCATCAGTTGATTGTACGTCATAAATTGTAAACTCTAGTTTTGATATATAGTATTGTATACCTACTACCATAATAGCTACAGTATTACCTAATTTAGTTAAATATCAATATTTGTACATAACAGTATCTATTACCTTATTCAAAAATAACAGTTTCATTATCCCTAATCATATATTTATGCCCTATAGTAATAAAATAATTTAGGAAGAAAAGAATATACCAATTTTAGTGTTATTGTTTTTTCTACAAATTCTTATAAAGTTTACTTTAATATTTGGTAACATTTCTGCGACGTATTTAGCCTTCCTTGTGCCACATATAGAATTATGAATAAGGTTTTAATCAGAGTTAGAAACAAAGATTATGCGGTGCAAACATCGTCGGACTCTGGCCAGTTTTAATTGCCCTACATTTGAAAGCCGTTCCTTCTTCATAAACTTAATCATATTTCATTTTAAAATGAACATTTATTACATTATTTTCACTTGAGTTATATACACTATAGTTCGAACTATATAGTTATTTAAAATGTTCTGAGTAAAAATAAATGAAATGAAGAATACATTTTATTTATAGTAGTTACCATTTGTTTATGTTATAATTTAAAGTACAGGCATATAACATTGGAATGAGCTCAGTTCAGTCATCGTTCTAAATTTAAACATTAAAAAATGAAGTCCTAGTGTGAAATAAAATTAATAAAAGTGCTCGGACGAGTCTCTTTTGTTGTCATTACTTACGGTCGAATGACTACATGCTACAATAGGATACTTAAAAGTATACTAAAAATTGAATTATTATATTAATATGACTAGCTTAATGTTACATTGCATTTATTAATAATACAGTTGACTAAAAAAGCGACATGTTTTTGAATTCACATATTTGGTCTTTGTATATAGACTTCAAAACCAGGTTTTATTTTTTTTCCAATATTTATAAATTAAGCTAGACGTATCTTTTCAGACCAGTCCGAAATATCTATACAATAAAATATTGATATTATCATTCGATTTATGATTTGTAAATACGATAATACAAAATATTTTAGTAGAAAAATTACGTAGGTAATTTGATTGCGAACAATAAATATTAATGTTCAATATTCCAAATGTCAATGTTTGACCAAATTTGGTTTTGTAAATATTGTGTTTACCTATTGTATGTTGTTGAAATAATGTTTGAAACACAACAATTGAAAATACTCTGTTTACAAAGCGAATACAATATTTTCGGGTTTCTTAGTATTTGGGTTACTAAAATACTTTGTGAATATTTAATGGTTGTACCCAAGATTCAATAGATAAATACATTTAAGTAATATAACAGGTAGGTATAGTTATTAAATTCTTAATCATAGAACATTTCAGAAGTTGACGTAAAATTTGAAATGTATTATAATTTTAAAATGACTATAAACATCACGAAACAATTGACAAATGAATTAGACACTATTATTCATTTTCCAAATTTAAATGTTTTACTAGAATAGAATACCGAGTTTCCCAACAAAAAAACGATTTAGACACTTCTCAATGAATTTCATTAACATATTCAATACTTAGTGATTCACTCTAAAAGCCGGTCCAGCTGCCGGTTGCCCGAACATTATTCTACGTAATTGATTGAACTCATCTTACGAAGAGCACTCGCGAGATAACCTTCCATTACCTTTTAATATTATTATCATTAATTAATCCTTGCACACACTTAAAAAGGGAATTTAGTTCGGGAGACAGCTATTTTAGAACTAGGTAATTATGAACATAACTTTGCTTTGTGAAATTGTGAAGCTGGATATTAGACGTAGAGGATCGTATTTGATGCTACCTACTAAATCTACTTTAGCTTTGCAATTTAAATTTTATTTCTGTGCTCTTGTAGTCCAGACAATGACACTTTTCAAGGTCATTTTTATTTCTGTAATAAATGCTGTCTATCGATCCCATAGACTGCCTCATTGGCCGAGTGGTCGCAAGTGCGCCTGCCGGGCAAGGGGTCTCGGGTTCGATTCCCGGGTCGGGCAAAGTATTACTGGATTTTTAAAAATTCTTAGTAGTAGCACGGAGTCTGGAATTGTGCCCGGTATATGGCAATAGGCTCACCCCCTATTACATGGGACTCATAACATAAATAGTGAAAAGTGGGTGTTACATTGTACAGTGGCATTAAGTGCCGTAATGTGCACCTCTGCCTACCCCTTTGGGGATAAAAAGGCGTGATGATGATATGTTATGTAGATCCCATAGAAAAATAATGTATTACATATATGATAAGGTCTATTTGTGTGTATTTCCAACTACATTATATTGTCACACACTATCTCTTAGCGTAAAGGAAGTACAATGACATCAAATATATCTTCACATAGCCATTTTGCCATGTTGATACAGTCAATCTGAGCTTGAGTGTGGCAGCGAATTTCTACATACAAACAGACATATATGTCGTCATATTAGCGTTGTATTGGTGTCTTGTAGGGATATACAGACACGTTAGAACACTGTGAGTTCTCTGTAGACAGTTTTCAATCAAATGAAGTAAGTTAGCTTGCGTATAAAGAGATTGTAGGGTGTAGATGACACGGAAAGGTATGATAGAATCGAGCGCTTTGCTTTACTATTAGCGTGTCTAGTTGACAGTTAGGGTTTTTTTTTATGTTTTCCTTAATTGTTCGTGTATAGATTTATGTAAACTTAACCCCATCTTACAAGCTTTAAGTAAATTATTATATATAGCGTCGGCTTGTTGTTGATTTCTCTGCTCATTAACTGAATTTAATATTAAACAGCCAGTCGGTAATAAGCCTATTTGAATTTATGTTTAACATACTGAACAAAGTTTGAAGATCTACTTTCATATTCATAACATCTTAACATTAATTCCTATTTGAGCAGCTAAAGTAATTCTATGTACAAATACCTATATGTAGGTCTCAGTAAACTATATTGTAAAGTAATCTCATAATTAATTCTGTCTACTTGTATTGAAATATGTGTTGACTGAAATATTTCGATTAAACTAAATAAAACCGATGTTATTTGCTCAGTGTAATATTATGAATAATACCAACAAAATTAGTTACTTTTAAAAAGACGTAGAAATTCTGAATTGAGTACATATTTACCGTTCCAATAACAAAAGAATTTTGAGAGAATAACATTACGAAGCCCTTTAAAAATATATTAAAATTTTCCTTTGTTTTGTATTGCTCGCGGCTGATTGCGGGAAAGGCTTCCCAAGTGGACGTATTCCATATTTTTATACGTATACAAATTGAGTAGGTAATTCTTTTAGTTCTCTTTTCTTTCTGAGTTTACCGCTGTTCTTTGGAACTCGTATAATGGCGCAGCGGCGGCCGTCGCCTGCAGAAACCTCGGACGCCTTTGAACCCGATCACCTCATTAGTCCAGCTCACTTACTCCATACATACGCATATACGAAACTACGCGTTCCCGCTCAGTCCGTTAACAGACTTTGTTGCGTACGCACCCCTTCATAGAAAACAGAAGAAATTCGAAAGTTTGGTTCGGGGTACAATAACATTGCGCAAGCGATGGCGGCGGAAACTCACGAGGACGCGATAGCGACATCCTGCGGGCGACCGTGGCCCTATTGATATCACCTATCACTCGTTTGTATGCAAATTCTTCGTGCAGGTGTTAACGTTCAGTGTTGTTGTTGAAGTTGATGTGACATCACACGTTCGGAAAATGTTCCGGAGCAGGAAAGGGCAGGCGATCAGCGAGGCTGATGTCCGCCGGGAACAGGCGCTCGGGTATCAGAACCGGTCAAATGTCAGCGGTTCGCGCCTCCGCGTTCGTCGCGGGTCGAGTTTGACGGATTTGGATAAGTTGCGTTGTGGGGGAGGATCTAGCGGGGGTGGTTCCATTGGGGATTTGATGAACATGTTCAGTGGTAGTGTGAATTCTGTCGGGAGTGATACTTTGGTGGCTAGGACTGTGCCGTTGGAGACTGTTCGTCGCAATGTGCCCCCTGTGTCAGCCCCGCCATCGCGCCCGCCTTCGTCACCGCATATCCATGTGTCCAGACCCGTGGGTCCGCTGACGATGGCTCAGCGTACTCTAAGATTTAGCCGACTGTTGAAGTACCAACCTTGTTCCGCCGACGTTCTTATTACTCTGGTGAGTGGCACCACTTACGTTTTATTATTATGGATTTATTGACTCGACTAATAAACCTCATTTGTAATAAGTTAGCGATACAATTCTTAATGAAAAGGAAGTTTTTATACACAATAAGTTTTCCAACCTTTACAAGTATTATTATCAGTCAAGTGCATACTTTTATCAGTCATGAAAGCTTGTCAAATAGCTCTAGTTGAGGATAATTGCGTTATTTTGCCATTATCAATTGATCATTTTGATAGCATTTGACACTATCTCAATAGTGTGTAGCTTTGATAATGACGAAGTATTTTCTCGAAAATTTTAATATGTCTGGGTAAAAATATTGTTAAACTGATGTTTAGACGCGATGAAGTAAGTTACGAAAGTTCATTGACCGCTTGAAGATAACATTTAGTGTAAAACGTCGGGTAACATGTGTTTAGTGGCTGTTGATAACAATTTATAGAAGCAATTAATGTATACAATACATCTTGAGCGTAACGAATGCAATACAACACATAATGTATTCTGTTTTAATATTCAAATACATTTAAAGGAATATGAATCGTAGTTGTGGTAAATTATTAAAGTGTATTTTAACTAGTAGAAGTTTTATTTAGAATAACAACCTGAGATATACAGAGACAAAAAGGATGAACAATAGTCGCGCGCCATAGATAAAAAAAATATATTTTCCTATACCTTTCTATAAATTAATGAGATGTTATACAGATGGTTTTTTAAAACAATTGCATGTTTTCGTTGCAATGGTTATTGTTTACAAATCTATTGAATTCATATCAATTAAGTTATTATCATTATTTATTAGTTAGTTTAAAGATCAACATGTAATTATTTCGCGATTTTTTATTCATATTGAAAAAGTCATCCAAGATACAAACTTCCATTGATCTGTATACTGTCTAGTATACTGTTTTACAGTATTATTCCGATTCTTGGAACAGTTTCCTACGCAAGCAATCATACAATGTTATCTAAATGACGTCCGTTTGATTCCCAAGCGTATAAACTTTGTTGAGTAAGTCCGAAGCCTATAAACTGCATTTCAAAAACACCAAACATAATTAAAACTTATACCTATAATAATAAGGATTATTTTTACACATTAATAAGAGATCTGGACTGCTGTAACTGCTAGCGTTTCATTGAATAGTAACGTTATTGCGTAGTTAAACAACGATTAAATTAATCTATATTATAAATAATATTAATTTAATTATTCATCCATATTGCTATAACCATATTATATAAATTACAGAATAAAATTTATTTTTAATTCTATAGCGTCTTTTTTATTATGTTTTACATATTTAATTACGTCAAAGTATTATACTACACTGAAATGAATAATTAAATTGAATGTGTGAATGAAAGAAATGTCTCTAATACCAAATTATTGTATCTTTTTAGTTATCATATATTGTGACGAGAAGGTGACAAAGTAAAAAAGAGAGATGTAAAATGTACAAAAATAATAAAATATACTTATGTATATAAATAAAGGTACTATAAAAATAGTAAAATAGAGTAAGTACTACATAAAATAATATCTATATGTATATATATATAAATGAATCCCTTTCCGTTGGTCACACGGCATCACGCGTGAATGGCTGGACCGATTTCACTAATTCTAAATTTGTTATTATTAGGTAAAGGTTCTTAAGGCAGAAAAAAATTTGAAAATCCTACGGGATCGGAAAGTCGTGGGCAAGAGCTAGTATTTTAATAAAGCGAAGTAAATAAAGCACTGGATTCATTTCTTCTTTCATAAGTCAACAGTAATTTTAAATTAATTCAGTTTCATTGTTAATAGACATACAATTTTTCAAATAAAAAGTGCCTACTGAATCATTTTCCATTTTCTTTAGCTGCTTTGCGAAGGGAGCAATTTATATTTATTCGCTCGTGTAAGTGGCAAAAAGGTATTTTTTATTCATGTAAATCTAATTGTAGCGTTTGAGGACATGTTTTTCTCGTTGAATATATGCCTAATAACATAGGGATGGAATTGGGACGTTCTTCAGTCGTTCAGTACTTTCGAACATTCTTTTCTTTTAATTAAAACTAGCTTCTGCTCGCGACTTCGTACGCGTAATCCCATTTTTTCCCGTCCCCGTTCGTGATTTTAGGTAAAAAGTAAAAAAAAAATGTTGGTCAAAAAGTATCCTATGTCGGTCTCCTGGCTCTAAGCTACCTCCCTACCAATTTTCAGCCAAATCTAATCTGCCGTTCTTGAGTTATAAGTGGTGTAACTAACACGACTTTCTTTTATATATATAGACTAGCTTCTGCCCGCGACTTCGTACGCGTAATCCCATTTTTTCCCGTCCCCGTTCGTGATTTTCGGTAAAAAGTAAAATAAAAGTATTGGTTAAAAAGTATCCTATGTCGGTCTCCTGGCTCTAAGCTACCTCCCTACCAATTTTCAGCCAAATCTATTCTGCCGTTCTTGAGTTATAAGTGGTGTAACTAACACAACTTTCTTTTATATATATAGATTAAGAGATACAAACGAAAAAAACATCAATTACAATAACACAGATTCCTGATAAGTTATTAACATATAAACTTAATATTGAATGTTATTACATAACATAACAATATGCCTTTTATCCACGAAGGGGTAGGCAGAGGTGCACATTATACCACTGTACAATGTAACACCCACTTTTCACTATTTATGTTATGAGTCCCATGTAATAGTGGGCGAGCTTATTGCAAATGCCTATTGAATTCTGTTACCAAACAGATTTTGTAAGTTACTATTCCAAATTGGATTTGGAACTATCTGTAAATTTTTGGAGCTCAAACTTCATTAAGAATTTAAGATCTGAATCCTAAAATAGTTTCTTAAACTAGATTTACAGATAACCACATGTTTAGAGTACTTCAAAGTCATGTCGAATGTATGTATACCTATATGAGACTCTTGATCCTTTCAGTTCTAATTTGAACCCGCGATGTTGTCCGCGTAAAGTATGAATTTTAGGACATATTTTTTGTTTGTTCCAATATTCCAAAATAAATGTAGCCAATGTTACACCTTAGTACATCAATAACCTGCTAATAAAAGTCTTGTTGAAATCGGTCTAGCCATTCCAGAGATTAGCCAGAACAAACAGATTTCCAGAGATTAGCCAGAAGAAACATAACAGAGACATACATACAAAAATTATAAAAATATTATTTTGGTATGTATTGTGTGTATATTCATATGCATGAAGTAAAAAGCGGTAATTTTAATATAACAAACACTCCAATTTTGTTTATCTGTTTTGATGAGCTATTTGGTAAACAAAGTAAATAAAACTTTCAAAGTTACCTTTATGTTAAAATGAACACAATAGAAATAAATGGTTTGCTGAATATCATCGATTTGGAAGTTAACCATGTTATTTACATTGACTCCGAAATAAAGAAGTCATTGTCGTAACGTTTACTATATACCTATTAACTAACGCAAATCGTTTCAAGTGAACAAAGATGGCGTTAGCACAAAGTTGAAAAAGTCTGAAGTAGGTTCACAGCGGTTTTATTAGTTCAAGCCGCATAAAATAGATGGCGTTATTCGTATAATCTTTGTCTCTAGGCGCCACTTTGTTTATCGAGTTTCAATGATCGAATACCCACTTTTATTTTCTATTATAAAATATTCGTTTAAGCGATGTCCATGAAAATATTGTTTGACACTATACCTATAATAATATTTTATTTTCCCTGAAGCCATTATATATTTTTATTATATTTTTACATAAATCAATCATTATAATATGATTTATTTATACATACGTTTTGCCAATAATCTGCATCTACTTTGAAAATAATAAAACTCCAATGTCAGTGACCTATTTCACTTAGCTCAAGAAATACTTTATATGTATGCGTTGAAATTCAATGAATCGAATCATTGAATAGAATAGAAGGCAATGCATAAGGAAGTAGTGACGTCACCAAGTGGTGGAGATGTCATGAATTTTCAACTACTCTGCAATTTTATTTAATACCTAGGTTCTTAAGATTGGTTCTTTATAAATGCTTAGATTTAAATTAGTATGAAACAAAGTATATAATGTATCAGAGATATTGTAAAAACTGATAGATATTTTAAAAATAGTAACAAGTGGAGTTTCTCGCTCGTTCTTCTCCATTCGAATCTAAATTTTGAACCGATTATTTATTTTGTTTTTGTTGACGTTTCAAAAGTACAAAATTCTAGAGGTTTCATTGAAATTAATGCTTCGAATTTTGGATCTTGTTTACTGTTGCATAACAGTTTTGTTTTGTAAATCAAATGAGGTTGTATACTTTTTAAATAAAATCTTCAACAATAAATACTTATTTCTGAGTTCTAATATATAGTAAATGAAATTATCACAAAATTGAAGATTAATTGGCGATATTTATTAATCTATGGGAAGTAGATGATATTATGCATAGGTAAATAAAACTCAAAGAAATGTAACCTTTATTTATTCAAATCGTATATCTCATCAATATAAGATAATTAAAAATAAATTCACTACAATTTAATATTTGAATGTTAATAGAACACACGTTATTTACATTTTGATTAACCCATACAAATCACCAATCATACTAAGGGTTGCCATTTTATTCACTTCAATTTAATACCAAGAATAAACCGATTTAATCTCTATTAATGTACGTTTCTATTAAAAACCCTATAAAACGTCGTAAAATACTCACTAATAAGGCCGTCACAGACTTAGCTATAATACATATTATAGCAAGGTATAGCAAGGCATATTATCATATATTTTCAATACAATTTTTTTAGTGACCACACAGTCATAATATATATTTCTGTGACGTCATCGAATCATACCTAACTTACATTTAAATGTATACGATCGCAGATCGAAAATATATATTACAGTATAGCTTCCGTCTATGGTAGCTAGCTATACTATAATATATAGCTCGATATATTAATATATATTATAGCTAAATTTGTGAGAGCCTTAATGGTAAAGTAATTATAACGTTCAATAATTATAAGTCTCAAATTTATAAACATTTTGTAACTTAAAAAGTAACCCTTGGTAACTATATAATTAAAAGTAAAATGTATGCATTATAATAAAAAATCTTCGATAACAATAACAGCCAAAATTAATAATCGATCTATATTCAAAATAAAAATTAAAAATGGATCAATTTATGTAGATTTAGACAGTAATTCAATAAAACTAATGTCGAAGCAATGATTTTGAATGATTTTAGCTTGAGATCGATTAATTTTGGCCGCAAATCATTAAACAACATAAAAATGGGCAACCCTATTGGAACCAAGTACACAACACAACCTATCAAGCATACTTCTTCATAAACTTGAGTAGATACTTTAGTTTTGGCATTTCAATGTTGTGGATGCATCTATTGAAGTCTCCGATGACCTTGACGGAGTGTGTCATCATTCGGGAGATGATATCTTTGAGGCACACACTAAGGTCTGACACTTCTTTAAAACCGTGGATTGCTATTTCTGCCATCACTACCGGGAACGGTGATGTTTCGTAAAGGAACTGGAAGTAGAAATATACAACTTGTAGAATGAATATAATAGGAGATGATTTATATAAGAAAATACAAGACACATGGTATGCCACCAAGCACTTAATACTAAAATATTTTTAGCAATATTCGTAGCACAATTTACTAATTACGTAAATAAAAGCCATGCCATCGAACGTTATTATGATAACACATAAGTATCATTAAATTAGACTAATGTACCCAATAGCAATACAGAAGTATATCTTTTCTACAAATATACACTTAATATACTACGAAACATCCAATGTAATAATTCAATTTTCAACTCTTGCAAATTAGGATTCTAAAGCATCAATTTGCTCACTCAATATTCCGGAGCTAGCAAGCGTCTTGGCAAGAATCAGAAGTAGTTCAAACTCAATTCGTTGGATCACGTATCCAGTTTCTACCCAACTAGTCTCTTGAGAATCATAATTTTAAACTAGCGGTGTAGTTTCTGTTTATTTGGGTGGTGTTTGAAAACTCAACGGTGGGGAATTTAAGTAATTTAAGCCATAAATATAAACATTGCTATTGCATAAATAGATTTGAAATTAACAAAAAAAAAATGTGATAATTTCCTCGTTTTAAGGTATGAACCATCTTAATTTGGTGTATTCAAAATGGTATACTTACAACAGTCCTCTCAAGATCTTGACTCTCATGGGAGCAGTTTCCACCAACTTGCTGTTGTTTCTGGCATTCAAATAACTTCGAGGCTGAATACTTCTTCAAATTCTCCAATGTTTCAAAGTGAACTTGTAGTTTTTCTGTAAAGAAAGCATTGTTTGATCACAATATTGGATATACCAGTCTCAACGCTACATTATTATGAAAACTTCTACAAAGCATCTTCCATATTCTCAAATTGCGTGTAT